AGACTGCCGTGCTTGGATGTCCACACTGTTCAGCTCCGTCGACGGACCGCAAACCTGCCTTGCGTTTTGCGAAGAATTCGAGGCAATCGTCTGGCACTGCCCCTGCACAGTGTCGAAGCATGCGTCCGTCACATTCAGCCCTGTCTCGGTGGCCACGGCCACGCATTGTGGGCTGACGGCTCCGAAGTCGAAGATGGCGTTCACAACCCAATTGGATGCGGTGCCAAACCCGGGCACGTAAAAGCATACTCGCAGGTCGGAAGTCGCATCGCAGTCTGGGATAGGCCCCACGTCCGTTAGGTTAGTTGTCACTCCGTCCAATGTCACCTGCACATCGGTGAGGGTGAAAAAGATACCTGCTCGGCATGCCCTGTTCCTGAGCCAAATATCCAGGACATTGAGGCCGTCCGCTTCATAGCAGGCCGTGCTGGGGCGGGAGTCCCAGTTGGTCGCATTGCAGCCAGCCACGTTGCCCGGATTCCCGGGAAAGCAGCCCACGGGTCGGTCTTCTGGTGCTTGTGGACACGGTGGAGGCTGGTAGAAGATATCGGGCCCGGCGGTGGATCCGAATTGGTTTGTCTTCGTACCACTTGACGAAATGTAGTTCTGCTTCACGAATCCGAGGTCTGAACCCACCGGAGCCTGGTACTCGACCTTCATTTCCCCGGTGTCGCCCGGCGCACTTGGATCAAAGCATGGCGTGCCACCACCTCCGGGCTGGCAGAGGTCCTTCCGTCGGTTCCCCACGCCCAGGTTACCCAGGCCTGCATAGAAATGGAACTCGGTTCCTCGCAAGTTAACAGTGTCACGCCAGCGAGCACCCGGGCCCTTGATGCCTCCTGGACATGTGATTCTGTCGAAAGGGTTGGGTACATCCGGGGATCCACTGGCAGTCGCCGTCGAGGTCGTGGTGCTCGTTGTGACATCCGGCTCGGTGGTCGTTGGCGGCTCGGTGGTCGTAGGCTTCCCATAGGAGTACCCATGTTTCCCGTAGTGGCGGAAGTGTCGACGGGCCCAAGGCCAATGACGATGCCAACGCCAGTCGGACGAGGCTTCGGAAGCAGAGCGTTGGGGCAAAGCCTGATCAGCTTCCTGGTTCGGCGCAACGGGCAAGTCTTGCTGGGACAGCTGAAGAGTGCTGAAGCTGTCAGGCTCCCTTTCACACTGCTCGCTTTCGCAAGCCGGACCTGCGTCACAGTATGCCTTCGCGACAATCACGGCCAGTAGGTAAACCCGCCACAACACACGGGCCTGCATGGTTCGGGGAAACTCGAAGCTCTGGAATAAGACACCAAGGGGCTTTGAGCAAGTCGTGGCTTGAGCCAAAATTGCTTGTTTAGCTTGTGCGGCAGGTGGCACTTGGTGTCATACCTATCATACCCAGGATACAGGTGAAGCAGATTCCCGACATGTACAATTACACTGGCACCTAGACTGCTGGGCTTTGATGGACTGCTAGACCATCTCGGCGAGTGCTTCTTCCTCAACTTCTTAAAATTCGATGCAGGTGTGCCCCACACCCAGAGAACCGAAGCCCACTGACAAAAAAAAGATCAGGTGATTCAGAGTCCTTCATCATTCTCACCATCTCCTCTTAGCACCATCACCCTCACGACACACGACCACAATTACCATCACCGTCCGCAACAACGTCATCCTGGCCATCATGATCGGACCATCGAACAGAAAACAGATCTGCGCTCAAGGTCCGGGTGGCAATCGCATGGTCGCGCAGTATGTTTAGCTGCTTGCAATGTGTCATGTCACTCGGCGGCAACCGATTATAATTTGAAAAACCCTTTATTTTGATTACTTCAACTGCAGATGTCCTCTAGCCGCTGCGCCCATTCCACAGGTTTTCTGCGCCCGGCCTGCAAGCGTCGCATTCCGAACCAGAGCCCGGCTGCTGGGATTCTTGGATTTCAGGATTTTAGGGATCAGCTCTTAAGATTTGGGTCTTGGGATCTTTGCTTTCGGGGTTTCGGGTTTAGGGCGTTCGGCTTTCCGGGTTTCGACTCTCACCACACTCGCACTGGCAGGCAAGGCTCCACACAGATTAGGGTTTCTGAGTGGGATCGGGCCTTTGGGCTTTCCGACTGCAGCAGTCCGAAAGCGGCACACAGCTGGGCTGGTGACCCCTCGGTTTCTTCTGTTTCTTCCATCCTTGTAATCTCACTGGATATGTCTTCTCAGGTGACAATCACTGCTTTCACCCACACCACGCATCACCACGCCATCGACATCATCAGCCACACTTCTCACCTGCCAAGTCAACATTGTTACATTGTTGAAAGAACACAAGAATCCTTCATGAAAGGTCCCTCATTTTCATCAGCTCCCAAACAGCAATTACCCTGCTTAGAGGCTTTTGCTCTGGGAGTCAAGGCCTTCTTGACAAGGCCCTGGAACCACAGCGGCACGTTGCCCCCGAGGTCCGTCTGGGAGACGCCGGTCACTAGGACGCCTGAGGGGGGTAGTAGGAGTAGATCACCAGCGACAGTAGGAACAGTGGTGATAAAGACAGCAGCGGTTCCAGAGCAGCAATATCGGTCAAGACAACGCCCTGACCCGTGGGTCTGACAAGCTGAGCCGAGAGCTTGGACGAAAACTTCTACATGCTGGAAATAAGCCTGCCCGCCTGCTCCTGACGGATTCGGCTGGATGATGTACCTGGCCACGAAGCATACTGTGGATCTGGGCATTTCTAGGACTCTAGGAAAAGCAACGCTCTGCGCCTAAAACCTGCACGACTACTTGGCTATTGATTATAAGTACCGCAAAAACATCCGAAGCTTGAGAAACTCTTGTCCGTGTCACCGCCAAATTGGGGCCAAGGTGCGAACGGGAAGCCCTACAGCCGGTGGCTATCCCCAAACCCCCAATGCCAACCTTGCACCCTGAACCCAAAAGCCCTAAACGCTCCCTGAACTCCTCAGGCAACCGGCCCAGCGCACCCAGAGATGATGGTTCGGGCGCGCACCACGCTCGAGACCGGGGCACGCCTCTCGACCGATTTTGGGATGGAGGCCTCTTGGATAGGGTTGTGGGTTGTTGTGTGGGTTTGGAGTTAGGGTTGAAGGCTTGAAGTTGGCATTCCGTGTGGGCTTTCTGGACGCAAAGCTTTGCAGTCTTAGGGCTTGAAGGCTGAAAAGACTTCAAGCCCTAAGGATTTTGGGGGGATAGGGCATTCGTCCGTTCGTGCTTCGGGCTGGGGTCTTGTTGTAAAAGCAAGGCCCTGAGCTTCGGGGAGCTCTGGCTGGATGGTCCTCTGAACGGGACGAGACACTACTGGCGGAGTGTCGGGCTTAGATATTGTGTGTGCAGGATTTCATCTCAGACATTGAGCGTCACTGACATGGGACACAAGTTATGTATGTTCAGCACCAAGGTACTTGTATTATATTTCATGACGACGATGAGCACCACGAGGAGCACATCGCGACGATGTGTAGTTCTTAGCCGCGCAGGGTGTAGGTGGTGGAGCAGCAGAGGCGCCAGATGCCACGAAGCAACCAAACCCTGTCAAATAAGGCCCACCAGCCGCCGATGACCTGAAGCCACGACCTTTAAATCTGAACTCCCCGAAAGCCGATCTCTGAAGCTCCTACACCTCGCAGCCCTGGCAGTGCGAAACCATGATCTCCGACCCCAATGAACTTTCAGGCTCTGAGCCCAGAGCCCCAAAGCACGTGATTGGCCATCACTGCAGGCACGGATGGCTATGGCATAGCCTGGAAGGCGCGCTGTTTAGCGGTGTTGGATTTCTAGCTCAGGTCTTGGCGTGTTGTCTTCTGGGAGCTTGGGGTCTAGCGCTGAGGGAGGGTGGGTCTCAATAAACTTTAGACACCAGGGGGTGCCTAGCAGAGCAGCAGTGAGGGAAGCTTCAAAAAAGCTTTTCACAACAAGTCCATCATTGGAAAGCCTTTCCGCATAGGTTATTTCTTCAGGAGGCGTATTTTCCTGTTACCATGTGACTGTCAAGTCCAAGTTCGTAGATTCCGACACTTTCAACCCTGCTTTCAAGCAGCGTCACTCGTGTCCAATTCTGCAGGTATGACCTTCGACTGGGTTGACCCATCTCTGCGGCTTCGAGAAGCAGCCCTTGCATTGGTGTGACCTGTCGACCTAGCAATGGCCAGTGGCCAGATCGTCCGTGACAAAAGGGGCAAGCATGCACCCCTCAAAGGTTCTGCAGTGAGACATTCATCACCCAGGCAGGGTCTTCTGCGTCTGCTTTGTTGCATCGCCAGCTGGCTGTGCACACTGTGTCTTTCAGGGTCACTCCTGATTGCATACCCAACCCTCGATTCTGCAAAATCGCGAGGTTGACTTGCTTGCTTTTGTCGATCTCGCCCATTTCAACTCCAATCGACACGACATCATGAACCCTTTCCAGGGCCTGCTTCCCTGACTAAATTCGGTCGCACCTCGGTCTGCGAGGCGGAGCAGAAAGCGCTCCTGCACAGGCTGGACGGCGGAGGGCGCTTTCAGAACGTTTTAACAGAGTATATAGCATAGTATAGTATAGCATAGAATAGTCTTATAGTATAGCATAGTATAGTATAGTAACAGTATAGTATAGTAGTTCAGTGCTTGAGGGGTCGGGTGGCTTATGCATCATGTAGGATTTCGCGAGTTTCGGGTGTGTCGGGGGGTTTGGCGTTTAGATTTCGGGACTTGGGTGAGGACGGCGGCGCTGCTGCTGTTGCTCTTCCTGCTCCTACTCCTGCTCGCAGGTCGGATGCTGGCTGTCACAATCTGCATAACCATCAGTCAGTCAATGGCGAAGATGCAAAACTGGTTACTTCCGGAAATAAGGCCCGCCGAAGTCACAACCAGTTAACGCAGGCAAGGCTACTGAAGATGCTGACTGACAAAGCAGGTAGCTTCGACGTTTGGGCTTTAACCTCCAGACATTAACGGCCCTGCCTGCAACATGTCCCGATCCGTCACACCTGCGTGGCAGCAGAGATATTCATCGCCCTCCGGCCACGAAAGTTGAACCCCAACCAGACATGAGATGCCAATGAGACGCTGAACCATGAGCCTGACACTAAGAAAGATGACAGGCAGAAAAGGTAAAAAGGCTTGACAATAACAACAATATCTTCCTCATGATTTCCATTACTATCAGCATCCTGATACTGCTTCTCGACCCGAATATCCTAAACAGAATGCCCGATGGTGCTGCTGGTCGTCTTGTTCTGGTCGTGGCAGGGACAGGAAGTCAAGAGTCTAGATTCGCTACACAAACTAGGGCATCCCTGTACAGGCTTCTGCTACTGCCAGGAAAGCTGTCATGGAGCCTGCGCAGAAGCTGTGACACGCTCTGGTCTTGCGATTTGAGAATGCCACCATGATAAGTAATTCACATGTTCCAGGTATGAGTACTAATCAGCGCGACTCCCATGGCGGACCTGTGACAAGGTGGATGCGGCAGTAGAGGAAGTCGCAAAGAGCTCCGGTGGCCTCTTGCACCTGCAACACTTTCAAGTCTCACAAGCAAGTCGTCTCAGTGATTCACCCACCTACTGAGCCAGGAAATACTTGGAATCCTGAGAGATTGGCAGGATTCTAGTCTTGTGTGTCTAAGTCTGCGCGTCCCATCTAGTAAAATATGCTTGAGTTGGTCACTGATTCCGTCGGCTGATGGTGACTACTGGGAGGTTGAGGTTTCCAGCCCCACATGCCAGACACAAACCTTGCAGTGACAAACGGATACTTTGAAACATCTCTTCGTTTGTCAAGAATTCAGAGCTTCGTGCAAAGTTTGGGACTCAGGGCCAGGGTGAAAGCTAGTTGGGCTTCAGGCTGTAGGATCAGGATGAGTCTAGCATCCTCTACGCTCGCCGGCTACATGAGTTAGCTCTGACAACTCTTGCAAGTACGTTAGTTGGGGCTTCTTGCATTTATTTATCGGATTCGTTACTGTACTCACAGCCCGACTTGCCAAGTTCCCTGATCTTCTATGAAGCCCAACAGATCCCCTCAAATCCAAAGCTGAAATACGCGACCCCCAGCCAGAGAATCCCCAGACTCCCAAAGCCCCCACAACTCCAAAAAGCCTGGCAGCTTGCAACTGAGAAGCCTCAACAAAGTATCCCTCAGATCTCAACGAGCGTAGCTCCAACCCTAAGCAAAACAGATGCCCTGCGCTCCCCGACACCAAGGAGGTGAGGAGTTCTGTTGCCCGGGCGCCTGCGGATCACCCAAAACCTGGTTGGCGGTGGGGGGGGGGGGGGAGTTCTGGAACTGGCAGGGTTGAGGATTCAGCTTAGGATTCAGCTTAGGATTCGGCTTTGTAGACATCATGAAAGCGAATTTAGGGTGTAGGGCCGAACCGAAGCCTCGGAACCCATGAGGCGTTAGTTGCCGAGATAGACTCCTCAGGCCTGATCTTCGTGGTGAAAGTTTAGGACTGTAGGGCTTTCATTGGGTGGGTTTATCTGGGGCTCTAAGTACCTTGGTTGGAGCCAGAACAGTAGGTAGCCTGCAGTATGAACCGACGAGTAACTACCCAAGGCCATTTGCGCAGAACAGCCTAGGGGAACCCAACTATAATCTCTACGAGGGGCGGTCAACCCAATGGACTCTTCGGAATTGGAACTTGCCAAGAATCCGCCTCTAAAGTTGGCTTTACGATCAAGTCTTGACTCTCAAACTCAAAGTAAGGCAAGGATCCAAGCTTTTGTTGTACGGCACCACCGGAATTCAAGCACGAATGATTCTCAAAGCGCAATAGTCAAGTCAAGTCTAGTCTGCGCCGTCATCATTGCTCAGACTTGAGTGTCCCCAATCCAAGACTTCCGAAACTCGGCATTGTTGCACGTAGCTCATGTAGTTAACCAGCAACATCCCAGCAAAGAAAGAACAAATGGAACCACACAGGACATTACCCTAAACCCTAAACCCCTAAACCCTAAACCCTAGACCCCTAGACCCCTAGACCCTAAACCCTAAACCCTACACCATTACCCCTTGGAGAGGCTTCAAAGGGTCCGGGAGGCCTCGTAGGCTGA